GGGGGGTCCAGTGGAGTTTTTTCCGGGGCGCGGGCTGATTCAGCCTGTTCCGTGTGACGCACGACCTCAGTAAGGCGTGAGCAGAACTGCCTGTCTGCAGCGGGCTAATTTGGCATGTTCCACAGGACTCGCGACCTCCGTAGGGCGTCTGCAGACCTGCCTGTCTGCAGCGGGCTCTTCACATCATTCTAACATACAAATTCCAAGACCCTTTATCACATCAACCAGACAACTTTCACAAAAAGCAATAAACACTGAATTTTCTGTGAAAGCTTCAAAGATAAACCACAGATTTAAAATAAAACGCATACTAATGATAAACTGTCTTGGTTTTAAAAGTCATTTTGTTAAATAACGTAACTTAAATTTAGAATGAAATTTTAAAATGAGCAAATAAATAAATATTTTAATACATTACCAATCACTGATGATCAACATTGCACATTAAAATCATAATGAATTATAATTTTTCAACTATGATATCAAATGATTTATAAGTATAAAATATCTAACTGTTAGCACTGGTACAAAGAAACATGGGACCACTGCCATATTGCCAGTGAAAGGTAATCTAGTTCAATTTCTTGGAAAGAAATATGGTATTTATGTATTCAGTTTTAAAATACCTTATAAGCAAATAACTGCACCGTAGTATTTTAAAGTGAAAAAATATGAATAGATACAAACATAAACTTCACAATAGTAAAAAAATGACAATACTAAAAGAAAGTATCCTTATAATAAATTACTAAGAAGCCAATAAAGCAAATAAAATCATTCACATACAAAAGTTAATTGCTGAGTAAATGACAATAGATAAAAGTTATAAAAGACTGCTTTGCTGTTAGACAAATATTTTGCAATACACATTTTTTATATTAAACCAAATTCTAAAAACTGTTATCAAGGCAGTAAAAATTCTCTTGGGCATCTCCTATTGTATATTGGTCAGCTTACTTAGCACAATTTCACTAAAGTATATCCTTACTATTAAAATGCTTTCTTCAAATTTTTCCCAAACAAAAACCTTTAAAAATAAACACATTTGGTTACATAATAATAAAGAGTACAGGAGTTTGGGGGGAGGGTATCTTAGTGACAGGGAATATGCTTATTAGCAAGAGCAAAATCTTTGTTTCAATTTCTAGTAACATCAAAAAAAATTTTTTAATTCTACAAAGTGTCAACACAGTCACTGACAAATCCTACATGTTACTGAACACCTTGTATTATACACAAAATAAAAATTATTAAAATTTACCTGCATTGCACTTTTCCCCAGTTTCACCACCTCAAATAATGTGACAGGCTCCCCTTCACCATTCTGCTGAGGGTGCCCATTAGCTCTTCCACGTCCTGTTCCTCTAACTCCAGCTTCAATTCTGCTCTTCTCCCCTGGAGATTTTCGAGGTTTCTTATTTGTAGACTGAATAAAACGATAAAGAAAAATTATATTAAATGCAGCTTATTTTTTGCTTTATACCAAATGATCCCAAATTATATCTGATCCATTTTAGCACTATTACAAATAAAAAATAAATACCAAATCAAAAACAGGCAATTTCCAATTTGTTTTCAGTGATAAAAATATACTTTAAACAACCAAACATAAGTTCATACATAAAAGCTATAAAAATAAAGCTCAAATGTTGACTATTATGCTAAAAATTATCAATGGTGACTATTTTAACCATGCCCACTACTGACATTTCCTACTTTATACCTTTCTCAATGTTTTCCTATTTCTTCAGAAACTTTATTCAATAAAACATTCCTGGAAAATACTATATATTCAACTTTTTCCCCTACTGAAGGGGCACGTGTATTTCTTGGTCAGACAACAAATACACTGTGAACATATTTGGAACCATTCTAGATACTGGTTATATAGCAGTAAACAAAGCATATGATCATTCTTGCCCGAAAGAGTTTGTATCTGTAATTAATACATCATCCTCTACCCCAGTTTTTGAAGTTATTCCTAGCCACCACCTTACCAATGTTTTACCTTTTGGGACAAAAGTAATTATGAAAAACTGACTGTAGTCACTATATTCAATCATGTAAATTTCATTCATTCATATATAATCCCTGTGTTTCGCCAAACTCACCAATGGCATCAGACTTGCAAAATGTACCAGACATTTCTCAAAACTTTAAAGAGGCCATGCAATTTCCTTCCTTTCAGGTATCTTTTTCCTTGCTTTATTGTAGTCCCTACCCATCAGTGTTACTCTGAAGTCTTAAGCATCTTCTCTTCCCTGTTCCAATTACCAATTATCCCTTGTCTCCAAATCTATCCTTGTCTCGCTTTGTGGTGCTGGAACTGAACCTTATAAACACTACTCTTGCCAAGTGTAGTGGTGCACGCCTGTAATTCCAGCACTCAGAAGGCTGAGGTAGGAGGATTGCTTTGAGTTGGAGGCTAGCCAGGGCTACATAGTGAGTCCAAGGCCAGCCTGAACTACATAGGGAGGCCCTGTCTCAAAAATCAAAACAAAAAATAAACACTACTCTTTTGGCATCTGCTGCAGTATTAGAGGGCAATAAAGGAATACTATAAAGCATAGCAGGGAATCACACAAAATACGCACAAAATCCACAATTTTCTATGTGGATTAGTATGTAATGAATTAATTCCTGTAATTTTAAATATTCTACTCTTAAGACAGTTTTAGATTTACCAAAAAAAGCATAGGACCAGGGATTTAGCTCAGTGGTTTTGCCGCCTGCTGCGCAAGCCCAAGGACCTGACTTCAATCCCCAGTACCAAAAAAAAAAAAAAAAAAAAAACAGCACAAAGAATTTCTATAGACAGAACACAGAATTAACCAATTATTAACATATTATGCAGCATATCCACTAATTAGCTTATTTGGTATATCAAAAAAAAAATCCACACCTGATTCAGATTTCCCTTCTTGTCTGATGACCTTTCCTAGACCCAGGAAACCATCCAGCATCTCACACTACATTTAGTCATTGTGTCTTCCCTCTAAGCTCCTCTTGTCTGGGACAGTTTCCCAGATTCTCTTGATTTTTGATGATCTTAGCAATTCTGAGGAACATTTATTAGGTATTTTCCCAAGGTCCCTCATTTCAAATTTTCTGTTTTTGTCATAGGACTATAATTATAGGTTTGAGGGAGAAGAAAAGAGTAGTTATCATCTAAAGAATATAAAGGTATATACTATTAATACGACACATCACTGTTCCTGCTGACCTTAACAAATCTCAAGTAATACTTGTTACATTTCTCCACTATTAATTTATTTTTAGTTCCTTTTCCAACATGTACTTTTAGGAAGAAAGTCACTACACATAGCCCACACTTACAATTACATAAATTATCAGAATTCTTCCAAATGGGACATTTTTCTATTCTTGTCCAACTTATGTATTCAACAACTTAAATATGGGCACATCAACATTTGTTTTGCATTCTGGGTTACAATTCCATGGCATTTTATTTTGCTGTTCAAACTGTTTCAGCTTTGGCTACTGGGAGCTCTCTCACTGGACTCCTGTGTTCAGTATGTCCTATCATTGTGTAGAGGTTTTCTGTTTTGTTATTTTACAACTTGGCTACTTACTAGTACTATAAGATACTCAAGGCTCACCTTGAATAATCCCTTTCCCAGTCCTACAATCAACCAATATTACAAAGACTCAGCCCCTTTTATTGGAAAATGATAATAGAGATGAACATATGAACACTAAGATTTGCTCCAAAGACAAATACACCCAGTAGAGTATAAATGGACAAAATTTGGTCTTAGTATTATGAAGTTCTGTAGGTTTTACCAATTCAGTGTTGTATATGCACAATTATGGTATCAAGGTAAAGAATTTCATTACTTCAAAAAATCCTGTGTTTCACTCACAACCCTTCCCCTTCCTATTGCTGATTTTTTTTAAATAGTTGTCATATTTTTGTCTCTTATAGATATCCATGAAAAAGGAATTCCACAATATATATCCTTTATAGACTGGCATCTTTTACTTGAACAATATGCATTTAAAATTATGTCTTCTAGTGGCTAAGTGGAACATTTTCTTCTTACTTCTAAACAACATTTTATTGTATAGATGTACCACACTTCATTATGCATTTGCTTAATGATGGACGTCTTGACCAGTAATGTTTAGCAATTGTAAGTAAAGCTGCTATAAACTTTCACAAACAGGTTTCAGTGTGACATGATTTTAAAATCAGCTGTGTATACATGCAATAGTACAACTGCTAAAATATTCCAAAAGATAACATTTAGCTTTATACAAAACTGTCTTTAAAGTGTGGCTATTTTATATTCAATAACAATGAATGAGATATCTTAGTGCTTCACATCCTTGTCAGGAAATTACTATTGTTCAGTTTGGGGATTTTAGCTATTCTAATAGTGATACAATAGTATCTCATTGTCTTAACTTACAATTCCTAAATGACAAATGACTTTCAAATAGTAATTCTTTAAACTTTGTTTAAATTATTGATGACAATTCTATCAACTACATCTTAATTTTCCTATCCCTTACCAACATCATCCAACATAGTAACTCTAACTTCAAATAGCATGTATCTCATTAACAAATCTACACTGATAAAATTGTATTTTGTATAATCAAAATACTGATTTGATAAATATGAAAATTAGTTTCATTTCTTGTTACTTATTAGAAAGTTTTAAATTTATGTGGCTGACATGTTTCTGTTCAGTGTCAACCTATTCTAATATTATAATCACAGTGATGCTTATAACACAAAACTAATCTCATCATACCCTTATTTAGTAATATCTGACCTTCAATGTTTCTCATTAGTAAGCTATTGTCCAAAGTCCTTGCACAGAAAGTAAGGCTACCAATACTACTATTCAATCATGTGTACCAGGTCCAACTTCACAGGTTGCAATTCTGCATACTCATCCATTTAATATTGGCAGAAAACATAATTCTTTAACGTATATGCCCTATTTCTTTGGACTCGAAATTATGGACCCTTCTAACAAGTTTAATCTCTACAATTTATAGAATAATAAGTATCTTCCCAGTAGAATATGTATGAAGAACATATGTTCAAAAATGTTATTTTTCTTTACTGACTAGAAATATAATAACATTTACATCTGAAGAGGTGATACAACTTATACAATGGAAATTTGCTTCCCAGTCTTGTCTCCATGCCAGAAACTTCCTTTCCTAAAAGACAATCATTAATTTCTTACATGCCTTCCAGAAACATTTAAATATATAGAAACAAAAAATGAGAATCATAAGGATGGGGACATGTAGCTCAGCTGCAAAGTGCTTGTCTACAATGTGCAAGGTCCCTGAGTTCGATCCTCAGTACAAAAACTAAAATTCTTTTTGAACTGGGCATGTAGATCAATTGTAGCTAACTCGCCTGCCATGTGTGAGGCATAGTTTGAACATGAGCACCATGAAGGAAAAAAAGGGAAGAGAGAGAAGAGGAAGGGGGTGGCATTATGACAGTTATTTTAAAGGACAATAAGGCATATAGAAATGTTTGATGACTTTTGATTTTTCAGGTTCTGTTCCTTATTTTACTTAATTTTTTGGCACCTGCAGCAATAATTCTATTCTGGACAAGAATCTGATGATACTCTTGAATGAAAGAAATTGATGAAGTTCCATTTTAAACTTGCTTCTGATTTGCCAACTCAAGAAATGAGTCCATCCCTTAATTTCCCATGCCTTAGTAAACAAGTCAGTAACCCAATTTCTCTGAAGGCAGAGTACACTGCCTTCTTGTTAAGTTAACCCAAGGATTAAGCCCTATTCTTAAGTCCACATTAGATGAGAACCCCATAACTCCATGTCAGATAACCCACATGCTAGCTTTAGCATAGACCCTGCACATTACTCTAAATGTTACCTGATCCTACAAAGTTTTCCTGGTGGAACATGAACAGCTTAGTTCATCTCCCCCATATACTACTTGACTAGGAAATCAATGTTTGATTAATGATAAGCAGTTATTTCTCTTAATTTAGTGTGCACATCTAGTTTCTATGTGTTCTCTCATAGTCTCGCTTATTCTCTTTTGAAATTTTTATAAAGACCAAGTGAGATAATTATATATATGTCATTACCAAATGCACACAATCGGAATCTAATCATGAGAAAACAAATGCAGGATCATTAGACAAATGTCCTAGTGTAATTTTCAAAAAGGTCAAGATGAGGACAGGGATTTAGCTCAGTGGTTCCGGCACCTGCCTCGCAAACGCAAGGTTCAGAGGTCGATCCCTGGTACCAAAAGAAAAGGTCAAGATGATAAAAATTAGAACAAATGAGGAACTACTGCAAATTAATAGAAATTAAACACATAACAAATAAATACAATGGTTTGTGTGTGGCTGTATACTAGGCTGGAAAAACACTGAAACAACTGGAAAACTTGGA